CCCCCCATGTCAAAAAAAGCCCGGTCTAGGTAGGGTTAATGCCTTCTTTTTGCATTCATGACTCTATAATCTCCCTAATGATACTCTTGTTCATTACAAGACAATGGGATCCTCACATGCTGAAAGTTCCACAGGCAAACATAACATCTTTCAAAGGCAGCTCTCAACTTGAACATCTTTCAAAGACTCTCTGTGAGTGGGACTTGAGTGGCATATGTTTTTACGATTGGTATGTATGTTGAATTGAAATTGTAATGCATATTCTTATTGTGTATTCTTATTTTCCCATGTATATTGTGTATTTTTTATGTGTAACCCCAGGGATACTTGAAAAACAGGTCAGTTAGACCTGAGTGTACTACTCTGGTTAAATAAAATAAATGATAAATAACATTTTCACACACTACCACGCCAACAAAAAAAAAGGAAACCTTCAATCAAGACTTACCCCAGTGTATTAGAAATATATCATGATCGTTACGACATACTTGGGAAAATTACATAATTAAAAGAGGTTAGATTTGTAAACTTTAGTGAATTAAATCAATGAATAAATCATTGCTCATAAATTTGCATCATTACTACTAGTAATAAATTCAATATATAATTATCCATCGAGCTACATCCCCAACACAAACCAAAACCATCACCAGCCAAAAATACTTCCGTAACGGCATTAATGACAATGGCATTCTTTTGGTGGCGTCTAAGGGATTCCGTCACAGAAAAAAACTAGCTTAAGGTAAGTTGACATGGTTTCTTTGAACTCCAATTTTGTTCTCACATTAAACGTTAGTTGTTGTTTTTTTGAGACATGATTTTCATTTGTTTTGATCCACCTACGGGCTATAGCAACAACTACATTATTGGAAAGATATATAAATAAGATATATAAATTAATGGAAAGATATATAATAAAATTTCAATTCTATAAAAACACAGGTTAATTGATAATTTTTTACCAAATAATCGAACAGGATAAGAATACAATGGTTTCTTTGAACTCCAATTTTGTTCTTACATTAAACGTTAGTTGTTGTTTTTTAGACATGATTTTCATTTGTTTTTATCCACCTACGGGCTATAGCAACAACTACATTATTAATGGAAAGATATATAATAAAATTTCAATTCTTTAAAAACACAGGTTAATTGATAATATTTTACAAAATAATCGAACAGGATAAGAATACAATTAGTACAAAATCAGTAGCATCAAAAACCATAAATAGAACATACTGTCATCTATAATGAATTATGATGCAATCAATGAAATAACTTGAACATGTAAAAAAAGGTCCAATTAAGAAAAAAAAGTAATTGCCTATTAACGAAAAAGTCTAGTTTACATGTTTTTTTCGGGTTCTTTCCGTAGTGTGTTTGTCTGCAGACGACATACATACCAAATATTCTACTCAATAACATGCAGGATATTATTTTGAGTGGCATTTTTCAGTTTTTAGCTCTGTGTGTAAGGATGGCATTTACTAAGAGTTAATGCAGAATCAATAGATCATCAATCTATGAATGAATGAATGAATTATTATCGTGCCATTGTGATCAATATGCCGCCCAGCCCATATGGGCTTATAAGGCACCGACAAAATACAAAATCAAAACAAATCAAAAGGTACAGAGAATCAGATATAACATAAATTATAACTTAACATAATATATAATAAATACAGGAAATTAAGTTGTACTGGTCATATACAGAAATCAAATCAAATGTAACATCGATGATAAATAATAATAATTTAGGTTTAACCAAAATTGATAATGGATAAAAGTAACGAGAGGTAACTGTCACATGACTGTTTGCATTATATTCATGGAAACCTTATATTTTCTAGTATTTCTGTACCACGCTATGATTGCCTTACAATTTTCTTTTTATTTTATCGACTGCTAGAGCCAGTGAAAAGAAAGCTCAATGTCTTAGTCCCACTGAGTAAAAATCCCGCCGGAGAAACCTAATGGGCTTGTTAAGTTATGGTAAAAGCTTGGCCTGTCATCTAGCCACATCCTGTAAAGATATAAACGAATGTGATATACCCTCCATACCATAATCGTTATTCTGATATAGTATTAGGTGTGTACCAAGATTGTTTCATTTGTATACTTTTTAGAAAAATCAATATATTATACACAAAAAAACAAAGATAAAGTGACGACGGGCTCAAGTTGGACACACTTGTACATTGTGGCAAATAAAGAATACCTATAGCTAACAAGACACTAAAACTTGTGAATGAATAAGCAACAAAATACGAGTCAGCAATTTTAACAAGAGTTTAAACTCCCATCCCAAAAGAAAGAACCATTTTGCTGTGATGCTGTCTTGTGTTGCTAACATGACTTTACAGTAACGCTGTATACCGAAACGTATTACCAAGAAAGGTTGGAAGTAATTCCTGGTTGTGGAGAAGAAAATCACAATATCCTATATTCACCCAAACCAACTTTATTCAGGCCATATACATCAGGGCACTTCTACTATCTCTCAACCGGGACGGGGAGCGATATCGACTTCTGACAACCTTTTGACCCTTTGCTGACGTCACACGTGGGAAAAATCACGTGTCCACAGCAATTGGGTCAGATAGCTGAGGAAGACTGAGTGATTCAGTCGAAAATTCCGGTGAGTAAAATTTATGAGTTGGAGAAAAATTTAACATTTTTCATAATGTAATTTACCAACTCAGATGAACTTTCATGCTGTTCACCCACCCAACCTGATGGAATTATTTTTGGAAAGAGTAACTATATATGTTTATTTGACTCACCTGCAACACTTTGGCAGATGAAGGAATACCTGTCGCTGCATGGTCGGTCCTCCCACTTTCCTGAAGTCTTTGAATTACGTCTGGTAACGACGCAATCTTTATCACTTCCGGTTTTATTGCCAACTGGTTGTCCAGGGGCCCACTGTTTGTACTTCCCAAGGGTAGTACCATCCAGCCACTTAAACTTTCCCTCTTCATCATGGTCATACAGGCCGATCCAGTAAGTACGGGGGGCATATCTCATACTGGCTAGGAAGTTCTTTGCACGAGCGTCTCGGGGCATGGCGAGGGTAGCGCCGAGTTTACGACAGGTTTTGTCCGCTATCCGGAATGACTTTTTCATTCCAAAAATCTTGTAGCCGATTCCCTCAAAGTACGTAAAGCCTTTATTACAGGGTGCTGGAAAGACAATGTGCACAAATGAAAAATATGATAATACTATGCGTAAAACTGGGACTGGCCCAATACCAGGACTGAAAAATCGTGAGATGCTCTATAATTGAACATATTTAGATAATTTTTTTTAAAAATAAATCCCTACTGTCTTCTTTAGAAAACTGTGAGCCTTGTCCTTGTGCAGCAGGGATAAGTATTAAGAATCCATGAAATATCGAGAGCTTATGAAAATGTATTTTTTTTTATTTCCATCAGTCATTCATTAAGGGAATAAGGTTGTAATAACCATAATCTGTTTTATTTTTGTTTTCTACTTAAAAAAAAAACAGGAATTTGAAGGACTTATACCTCCATTAAAATATTGTTTTTGTAAAAGTTTCTTTACTTGTCAGAGTTATTTAGAAAAAAAAACTAGAAGATAAGGTCATATTCACCAAAATACATTGCAATTTATTGCAATTCAAATTAAAAATTTGTTTTATTCGAAATTTTGGGCTTCACGTTAATTATGCAGATTAGGGATGCCTTATTGGCATAACTGGAATCTATCAATGTTAGACCTGCCATAGACGATATATAATATAAGTAAAAATGAATATCATGTAAAACACCGTACTAACAGTGTTTCCTCCCTCATTATGCAAATTATCTTTATTTGCCTAATTTACATCTAATTTTTACATCACTCTTTAAGCTACCTACGTACCAAAAGAGATGAAAAATACGTTGTTCCTCTCTGGACTTTAAAAGTCCGCTTTAAAAGAATTCGCAAGAAACTCTTGTGCTGTTTCAGAACAAGCTGCTAGAGGGACAAAACTCACATCACGTATTTCTGTCAGTAAAAGGCTATCTGTCATCCAAAGGTCAGCACTTTGCTACACCGTAGCACGGTCAGGGTAAAGGATACAAAAACTGTTTTTCTGCTGCCGTTCTAAGGTCAGCCACCAGGTGCCCGTATTTGACCTTGATCTTTGCCTTTCTACATGCATTTACGATCTACCAACATGCCAAAAAATCATTACAATCTATTAATTTGTGATGACTACAAATTTTCGGAAACACACAGATACAGTCAATTTTATGGATGACATCTTACACAGACTCCAAACGCAATGTGAAAGGACGAAAACAAAACAAGGCGGGCCAAAAAAATAAGATTCCTACATTTTTAAATTTTGATATCATAAACCTTGATAAACAAGAATATTGTACTAAGTTAACGGCCAACTAATACAACATCCATTTGTCACTAAAAATAAATGTTTTCAATCATTGTACAAAATAGTTTTGATTCAGGGAACAACACATATAAAAGGAATAAAATGCATAGCTGCTTCAAAGTAAAAGACAACATAAATCAGAGCCTTATCTTGTCTCCTCTCATCATATCTATCTGTCATCCACGTTGTGGCCAGACAACAGATATCTTTAACCCCCATTTTCGGCATGCTGGCCACTTTCAGAGGGAAATAATTTCTTTTTTAAATCTGGCCACACCGACTTAATTTTATGGATGACATTCGCGCTCCTGTTCTCAAAAAAGAGCACCTCCTTCGAGACATCTTAAATAGCGACAATACGGGGCCGGTGGTAACTATGGAGAATTACACCCAGGCTACAAGATCCACGACTCAAGAACTCAGTACGTACCTACCATGCCGGTTTACAAATGCAAAAAAATGCCAGCTTGTGCCGGCTTATCATATACGTCGCTATGTACTTTTGTAAATTCAAAATACCAGCTTTGCATCCCTGTGGTTTAGTTGCATTTTTATTTTTGGCCGGAATTCTTTTTTATTTGCCCGCGCGCACTAGTTTTGGAGTATTCAGAATATGCCATTCATACAATTAAGTCTGTGTCCTCAGGCGAAAATTAATTCACGCGCCTATGTCATCCATAAAACTTTCTTACTGAGGCCTTACAGATTTTTACAAGTACCTGCATTCACCGTGCCCTCTTGGAGTGTTTCAGCTTTTCCGGCAGAGTGCACTGCGCTTCTGGGAAGGCTAGGCGGACCGATGGACCCAGCTGGCGGCGGCGACTTAGAGCGAGGATGCCCGACAAACCCAGGTGCCGGCAGACCCATGGGACCCCTTTCTCCGGGAGGCCCAGGTGGTCCCACAAATCCAGGTCCCAATGGGCCAGTGGGACCCCTTTCTCCTGGTGGCCCTGGAGGCCCTACGGGACCCCTTTCCCCGTCAGGCCCAGGAGGCCCCACGGGACCCCTTTCTCCGGGAGGCCCAGGCGGTCCGACAGATCGAGGTCCCTCTGGACCAATGGGACCCCTTTCTCCGGGTGGCCCAGGAGGCCCCACGGGACCCCTCTCTCCGGAAGGCCCAGGTGGCCCGACAGATCCAGGTCCCTCTTTGCCAATGGGACCCCTTTCTCCGGGTGGCCCAGGAGGCCCCACGGGACCCCTCTCTCCGGAAGGCCCAGGTGGTCCAACAGATCCAGGTCCCTCTGGGCCAATGGGACCCCTTTCCCCGGGTGGCCCGGGAGGCCCGACGGAACCCCTTTCTCCGGAAGGCCCAGGAAGCCCAACAGATCCAGGTCCCGGCTGACCCACTGGTCCCCTCTCTCCGGGAGGCCCAGAAGGCCCGGCAGTTCCAGGAGGACCAGGGGGCCCAACACAACCAAGACAAGCTGAGCCAATGGGTTTCTTTTCACTGGGCCCGACAGGTCCACGATCATCTGTAATTTTATTTAGTTTATTTTAAAGATGTCCATTAGTGAGTACAATGTTTACTGCGACTAGCTATTCATGGGGTAATGTATGAAACCTATAACACATAACATAACCAGCACACCATAAAAAACACAGGTAATTATGCTACTAGCAATATTGCAACGGGGTCTGCTTGTGTACGTATGTATTTTCAGCCTGTTCTTTATGTGTTTGTGGGACGTTGATGGTGCAGATGATTTGATGCATTGTGGGACAATGTATAATGATTTAATGAACTTGTGCCAAAATACCCTGGTAGCTGAGAAAGTTCTTGGTTTTGATTGCCTGGGAGTGAAGACTGACATTTACATTAAAAACAAGGATCTAAAATATTTTTGTTACAATTAAACATCTTTACCAATTATTAGATGATAATTATGTAGATCGTCTTTAAAAAGTTGAAATTGCAGGCTAAAAAGTTGAAACATTTTTACTCTATTTTAGATCATACGATTTTGGAAATATATTCAGTATTAGGTGACTCATGTTTTGCCTTCCAGTTCCATTAACATGATCTTATATGAATATAACGATATGAATCGGTTCCTTCCAAAAGAATGTGCTGTTGGAGAAACAAAGTTATAGCTTCCCGTCAAAGGCGATAGTATCAAAACAACCAAACTTACCCATAGCTGTTATTATCTCGTTAAGACGTTTCTCCAAAAGAGCAGTTCTGTTGTCCAGGTCACGCTTTAAAGCGCCAATAGTGATCGAGATTTGAGACATTTCCTGACAAGAGATCGGAGATTTGTGTCCAGAGAAGTATTTAGAGACTTTGTGGATAAATTTGAACTGTATTTTATTATTGTTGAGATCTGCACGATCTTATAATAGAATTCATTTCTCATAGCGGTGTATGAAGTAACTTACTCCGGTATTACACTTATCATTTTTGGGAATATGTGCACCAGTGCACCCAACCTAAAAAATTCTAAGTGCACAAAAATGTTTTGGGTGCACCATATGAAACAAAACCTAATTGCAAGTCTTACTGCTCCTCTTCTGAGCTTGAATCTAAAATGAGAGCTAACTTCAAAATTTTAAACAAGTACTACAACAAAGATTATATCATATTTCTGATACTTAGAGACCAAGAATATCCGGTATACTATTATACATTTCTAATGTTACAAATTCCTAGAAAAATATTTGTGTGCAAAAGTGCACCCAGAGAAAAAAAAAGGTGCACAACTCTGATTCTGGGCACGTGCACCCAGTATTTCCAGCCCTGGTGATGTTTCATGCATAGATCACAACCCTGTCAATCAACTGAAACTCAATCCCATTCTACATCTAGTTCCAAACCTCAGTGCTATCTATGAAGAAGAGCCCCCTTCCCCCTTAGTGCTACCAAAAACAATACTTCCGCTCCGGAAGTAAGAACGCCAGAATACCAAAACCCGCAAGAAATTGACAAGGACAGAAGGCCAGGATTAGACTACAACTAGATAGTGTCCCGTGATCACAATAACGAAGAATAAACGAATGCTGCTTAGAAGAATAAATATGTAAACAAGAATTCTGAGACATCATACCTCCATGAAATATATAGAGTTTATGTAAATGTTTTTCGAGGGATTATTCTCATTCAAATATAATATCACAATTAGCATACTCTAGTATAGTTAAATTTATGGTTTTCTAATTTGCTCAATTTATAATATTTTGCTTGTGAAATTCCTATCTTTTGGCAATATTTCAAGTAACATGTCTTCATTAATTATGCGAATGACCTCTATATCAACATAATATATGCATTTTAATGTTAACCTTTAAGTAACTTACTCATGTCATATGGTATAAAATTAATTCTCATCATTCACCATCAAGAAATCACAGAATTTTCAAATTGATTATGCACATTATATCATTATTTGCATTATTGGTATCTGTTGATGTTCTATCTGCCGTAAATTACATACATTACATGTATGAAAGTCCTATTATGCAAAATAGTGTAATAATAGAATTTTTCGATTGATTATGCAAATTAAGTCCTCATTTGCATAATTTGGATTTTATTATGTACAAATCTCTTTCAGCTACCTACACACAAAATATGATGAAAATACGTAGTTTCTATTTGGACTTATTGGCTTTTAAAGATTTTTCAAGAAAGTGCCCTGCAGTTCCAGAACAAGCTGGGGGACCAAACTCACACCACTTATTCCTGACAGGAAACGCTATCTGTCACCAAAAGGTCAAGACCATAGCGTGTTCAGGACAAACGATTAAAAAACCAGAAGTTCTGCTGCAGTACCAAGGTCATCCACCAGGAGGTCCATATTTGACCTTGACCTTTGTCTTCCTAAGACTTACCAACATACTAAATATCATCATAATCCATAAACTTAAGGTGTTATGAAGTTATGCTGACTACAAATGTGCGGAAACACAAGCACACACACCGACAGACACACGCACACACACAGACAGACACACCAAAAACAATACCTCCATTTTTCATGGAGGTAAAAATAGATCTGTGATATTACGGTTATGTATTTACCTCTTTGTTGAGCAACGCCAAAGGGGCGAGTCCTACAGCAACAAGACTCAGCAGCACGGCGATACCGGCGGCCAGGCTGATGTGGTGGGAGCGGATGAAGCCACAGACACCAAAGCGGACACCTGTTTTACCTGGATAAGTTCGATCTGTAAAATAAATGTAGATTGTCAACCGTTGTCCTGTCGGTTTATACGCTCCCTGTGCTGGGGTTTCCAGACCGTACAGAAATGCATAGTAGTATAGTACTACTTTAATTTTAATTATTTTGGGTTACGTTCGTCTAAAACATCCCCATTATGTTATACATCAATGGAAAGCCAAGAATCTCTACTTTTTATACATGCATTTTAAAAGTGACCTAGTGCAAGCAGTAATGGCTAAATAAAGGTTATGACGTAATAACAACGCTTTTAATGAAATGCATGTATTATCATATGATGATACTCAAAAGCCACATGAGAACTGCCAATTCAAGACTACAACATTCATGAGATGTCCCGACAACATCAGAAGTACATAGCAGACAAAAAATGCACCCAGGTAGTACTACAGGTAAGTTTATGACTGCAGATTCTCCAGGGTGCTTAACTGCCTACCCAGTTAATCTACTACAACATAACAGTCACTCTACATCTAGTTGCTAAATATCAAGTGGAAGCTTACATACTTACACCAATTCTTTTAAATATAATACCTGATTCATGTCTTATGACAGCTATTTAAGAAATCTAATCAAGGGATTCAACTAACATGCTTTGAAAATGGACTATTACACCCACATATAAAAAGACTAGTCCCAAAGCACATGCATACGAAACTTTTTTTTTTCCAAAATCTCCCTAAACAGTGCTCTGTTGTTATTTGAATTAACGATTGTCAGGGAATTTTACCCCTACAACAAGTTTAGTCCAATAACCTCAGGCGAGTTTACACGATCGGCAGGGAGGGGAGGTCAGTTGGTTACGGGTGATACTGGGCGAGGGCCAATTGAAACAACCACAAACATGATGTTATTGGTGTTAATACAGTCACACAATTCACCCACAACAATATAACGTACATTATTCTAATCTTCTAGTTACATTACGAAAATCACAATGAATTAGAGCTAAATGCTCGAACTTATTTACCTTAAGTTACATCAAGGGCATTTTACGTAAAATTTCCTTGGTTACATCATGGAGTTAGAAGATCAGACACATTTTACCATTAATTCATACTGTCTACCCCTGTGTTGGGCAAAAGCTTGCAAAGACTAAAACAACAGTCCAATCAAGGACACCAAAAGTAACAAAGGACTTCTTTTCACACAACCATCATCTGACTTAAGCATTTAGGCAGAAGGGACATAAGAATTACTATTATGATAATAACTTGTTTGTTGCAATATTGTAATTTTTGAACAAAATCCTCCCCTCTTTGGACTTTTAACATTTTAAACATGCATTCTGCCATGTACCGAAAGAGCTGTGGTGCCCTTTGTAAAGTAATACATGTCATGTTTGAAAGAGTGCAACTTCTTAACTGGTCATTGATATTTAAGCAACGATGTTGAATATATCAGTCTTTGTAAGACTTTTAGTTCAACTTTCGTCACTGAAAGTTGAAAAATATGAAATTAGAAATTGGTAAAAATACAACACATTGGTTCAAGCTGATCTTGGTCGTTAGGCATATACACTTGTACATGTAAACCATACATACTATTAGTATTATCATATCTTCCAACTGTACAAACTAAAATTCAAAAGGGCGAAAGTCATATAGTCATATATATGTTGAGGGTACCTGGCCGTGTAGATGTGTTGGTTGCGTTACCTTTTTTCGCTTCGGTTTCTTCGTCACCGTCCTGGTCTTGGAGATTGCCGGATGCGCCGTCGCCATGGCGGGCATGGCCGTTGAAACCAGGCTGGTGGCCGGCAGGTGATTGCGACGGCGGCCCCTCGCTTTCCACCCCCGCCTGCCGCCTCGTGCTAACTAAAGACGGCGGCAGATCCTCATCCTTTATTGTATGATACACTGTCTCGGCTTCTTTGTACGTGTACATGTACGTGTCTGAAGAGGTGCCTTGACTTTCCAGCCGCATGCCAGAAGCGCCGTTCCGCGGTAGGACAGCGGGAGATCGCGGGGGGACAGCGGGAGATCGCGGAGGAACAGCGGGAGATCGCGGCGGATGCTGCCCGCTCGTCTGGCCGTTGCCGGGCCCGGAGAGAGGGTTTCGGACAGGTCTTGCTTGCTTGCGCATTTTACTGTACTGTTCAGTGTACTGTACAGTTTAATGCGTAAATATAGCAATTTGTACCATAGTGAGTCTGCTGAGGTAACGGCTTTTATGTTCTTATTTTAATAATCAACACCGTGCATTACGTGTCGAATGGAATGTTGTTTTTTCAGCAAATTATAGACTAATTTTCGGTGTAAAACTCTCATTTCAAAATTACGGTATAAACATCAAAGTACTTATCGTTTCAAAAGAAATGTCAGAAGGCGTAATTTGATTGTTCGATTGTCGTGTGTCTATTTAAGCCGGCGTTACAAAGTCTAAAAACATTCTGTACTTTTTATTGTGAAATAGTCTTCTTGACTTTATACACAGAGTAGCATGTTTTTTACGAGAGGCGGCACAGGGTTTTTCAAAAGCCCCTGTCAAGAATGGCAAAAAAGCTTTATGTCACCATAAAGTTCTTTTTTTTTGCTGATCCTCCAAGAAGCAGAAAACTAAGCACACGTTCTTTTACTGCCTTTCTATGACAACATCCTGGAAATTGGAGAAATATATGAGAAATCTACGGGAAACTCGAGAAAACGATTGAATCAAATTTGTCGTTTTTCTAAGATTGTTCACTCTGTTGACGTGTATTGCATCTTATTCATAAGAGAGGGACCACTAAATGAATTTTTTGTGATACAACTAGAACTGTTTGTTACAGTACTATTCTAAGTCATTAAAACAGTTCTGACGGCCCTCTTATATAATTTAAGACAAAGAAATTAGACCAAAGCCATCTGCTCAAGACAGGCAGTTAACTGATTTCTAAGTCAAAATATAAAAGCTAACATAATTGATTCAAATGCACATTTAGTATTCTCAATAAACTAACATATCAGTACATCAGGCTAGATCTTTTTTCATTATAAACCTTAAAGTTAAAGCTAATAGAATATTATGGTTTCTTAAGCAAGAATGTTAGTCCGCCGGCCGCTCCGTCTGGTCGTTTCTGTCAGTGCTCTCTCCTCTTGGCGAGCGTGTCTCTCCATGTCCTGCTGTAACTCGTGGACACGTTCTAACGCATGTGTCACCCTGAAAATACAGAGAAATCACTCACATCATTGATCTGCTTCAATAAAGAAAGGCAAGACGCCAACTTTATGCTTGAAATATGCTACGTTGTACATATATAGGATCATGTGGTTGGTTAGTTCTTTGGTTGGTTGGTTGGTTGATTGGTTTATCGATCGATAGATTGATTGATTGATTACGGCGCTGTCACATCCATCGTCGGCCGTCGTACAATTTAGGTTTCGCGAAAGTTTCAGGCTGACACAATACCAACCACCGACAAGGATCCGACAGAGAATAATTGAATTTTTCACGACACATCCAAAACTATTCCAAGGATGCCTTCATCTTACGGCAAATGTGACCAGACTCTAGATTTGAGGAATTCACATTTATCTCAGTAAGGCTTAATTTTATGGATAAGGCGGCACAACACAGTTTTAGCCCTATGGGGATTTCTATAGTTAAGGACCCCAAAGTGACTCACTTCGACTCACTGAAAATCATAGTAGGGTGCACAAGCAAGGTTCAGATTTTTGATATGTTTAATTTCAGGGTATAGTGTACAACATATGCGAAAATGAGCTCAAATTTGCCGGCTAGTTTTCTTCTCATGCCCTCTTTTATTAGCGCCATTGCGGAGGTCATGGAACTGCAGCCGACGCACAGTACTAGGCGGGACAAGTATCCAAGCGCAAATCTACGCCGACTGAACACGCACCATAAGTCAACTTCTACAGTCTCAAAACTGACATATTCCTCTAACATTTACCACAGGTTCTATCTCGATACCATGCTCAGAACAATCTCTGCACCCTTCTCTAGTATTGTGCAGCACTACTTTGTGCCCGGACTACTTTTGACTACGGGGTTCGCCCATAAATACTGTGTTGTGCGGCCTTAAACGAACTTGACCTTGAATTTTTTTTCGTTATGCGATAAAACTAGTCAAGATGTGAAACTTGGCCAAATTTTATCCCACAAATCCAAACTGTTGCTGAGATTTCGGCAACTTTGCACTTCGGCACCTGTCGTAGGGCAAGGTCCCGTACAAGGCCCTAATGACGGGCCATTTAATGGTCTTCTTATCAGGTCAAATTTACTATTCCAGCCGACTTTTTCTGGCTAGCGGGTATCATTGTTGTATCCTCTCACGTTCTGAGTGATTTTTAGTTAGTGTAAGCCGTTTTTACGGCAGAAAAAGGGGGGGGGGGTACGCGTTCTCGGGCCAGTGGGGAACTCCCATAGTAAAGCATAGGGGACTGTCCTAGTGGCCGTTGCCATGGCAACGGAGGTCTGACGGTGAAATAAACTGGTGTATTTTACTTGAACCGACGTCAGTACCAGATATACTAAGCAAATTTCACCAAATTTTACACGGTTTATTAATTCCCGTGGGGGTTCAAGGCGGCACAACACAGTTTTAGCCCTATGGGGATTTCTATAGTTAAGGACCCCAAAGTGACTCACTTCGACTCACTGAAAATCATAGTAGGGTGCACAAGCAAGGTTCAGATTTTTGATATGTTTAATTTCAGGGTATAGTGTACAACATATGCGAAAATGAGCTCAAATTTGCCGGCTAGTTTTCTTCTCATGCCCTCTTTTATTAGCGCCATTGCGGAGGTCATGGAACTGCAGCCGACGCACAGTACTAGGCGGGACAAGTATCCAAGCGCAAATCTACGCCGACTGAACACGCACCATAAGTCAACTTCTACAGTCTCAAAACTGACATATTCCTCTAACATTTACCACAGGTTCTATCTCGATACCATGCTCAGAACAATCTCTGCACCCTTCTCTAGTATTGTGCAGCACTACTTTGTGCCCGGACTACTTTTGACTACGGGGTTCGCCCATAAATACTGTGTTGTGCGGCCTTAAACGAACTTGACCTTGAATTTTTTTCGTTTATGCGATAAAACTAGTCAAGATGTGAAACTTGGCCAAATTTTATCCCACAAATCCAAACTGTTGCTGAGATTTCGGCAACTTTGCACTTCGGCACCTGTCGTAGGGCTAGGTCCCGTACTAAGGCCCTAATGTACGGGCCATTTAATGGTCTTCTTATCAGGTCAAGTTTACTATTCCAGCCGACTTTTTCTGGCTAGCGGGTATCATTGTTGTATCCTCTCACGTTCTGAGTGATTTTAGTTAGTGTAAGCCGTTTTACGGCAGAAAAGGGGGGGGGTACGCGTTCTCGGGCCAGTGGGGAACTCCCATAGTAAAGCATAGGGGACTGTCCTAGTGGCCGTTGCCATGGCAACGGAGGTCTGACGGTGAAATAAACTGGTGTATTTTACTTGAACCGACGTCAGTACCAGATATACTAAGCAAATTTCACCAAATTTTACACGGTTTATTAATTCCCGTGGGGGTTCAAGGCGGCACAACACAGTTTTAGCCCTATGGGGATTTCTATAGTTAAGGACCCCAAAGTGACTCACTTCGACTCACTGAAAATCATAGTAGGGTGCACAAGCAAGGTTCAGATTTTTGATATGTTTAATTTCAGGGTATAGTGTACAACATATGCGAAAATGAGCTCAAATTTGCCGGCTAGTTTTCTTCTCATGCCCTCTTTTATTAGCGCCATTGCGGAGGTCATGGAACTGCAGCCGACGCACAGTACTAGGCGGGACAAGTATCCAAGCGCAAATCTACGCCGACTGAACACGAACCATAAGTCAACTTCTACAGTCTCAAAACTGACATATTCCTCTAACATTTACCACAGGTTCTATCTCGATACCATGCTCAGAACAATCTCTGCACCCTTCTCTAGTATTGTGCAGCACTACTTTGTGCCCGGACTACTTTTGACTACGGGGTTCGCCCATAAATACTGTGTTGTGCGGCCTTAAACGAACTTGACCTTGAATTTTTTTCGTTTATGCGATAAAACTAGTCAAGATGTGAAACTTGGCCAAATTTTATCCCACAAATCCAAACTGTTGCTGAGATTTCGGCAACTTTGCACTTCGGCACCTGTCGTAGGGCTAGGTCCCGTACAAGGCCCTAATGACGGGCCATTTAATGGTCTTCTTATCAGGTCAAGTTTACTATTCCAGCCGACTTTTTCTGGCTAGCGGGTATCATTGTTGTATCCTCTCACGTTCTGAGTGATTTTTAGTTAGTGTAAGCCGTTTTTACGGCAGAAAAAGGGGGGGGGTACGCGTTCTCGGGCCAGTGGGGAACTCCCATAGTAAAGCATAGGGGACGGTCCTAGTGGCCGTTGCCATGGCAACGGAGGTCTTACGGTGAAATAAACTGGTGTATTTTACTTGAACCGACGTCAGTACCAGATATACTAAGCAAATTTCACCGAATTTTACACGGTTTATTAATTCCCGTGGGGGTTCAAACGAACTTGACCTTGAATTTTTTTTCGTTTATGCGATAAAACTAGTCAAGATGTGAAACTTTGCCAAATTTTATCCCACAAATCCAAACGGTTGCTGAGATTTCGGCAACTTTGCACTTCGGCACCTGTCGTAGGGCTAGGTCCCGTACAAGGCCCTAATGACGGGCCATTTAATGGTCTTCTTATCAGGTCAAATTTACTATTCCAGCCGACTTTTTCTGGCTAGCGGGTATCATTGTTGTATCCTCTCACGTTCTGAGTGATTTTTAGTTAGTGTAAGCCGTTTTTACGGCAGGAAAAAGGGGGGGGGGGTACGCGTTCTCGGGCCAGTGGGGAACTCCCATAGTAAAGCATAGGGGACTGTCCTAGTGGCCGTTGCCATGGCAACGGAGGTCTGACGGTGAAATAAACTGGTGTATTTTACTTGAACCGACGTCAGTACCAGATATACTAAGCAAATTTCACCAAATTTTACACGGTTTATTAATTCCCGTGGGGGTTCAAACGAACTTGACCTTGAATTTTTTTTCGTTTATGCGATAAAACTAGTCAAGATGTGAAACTTGGCCAAATTTTATCCCACAAATCCAAACTGTTGCTGAGATTTCGGCAACTTTGCACTTCGGCACCTGTCGTAGGGCTAGGTCCCGTACAAGGCCCTAATGACGGGCCATTTAATGGTCTTCTTATCAGGTCAAGTTTACTATTCCAGCCGACTTTTTCTGGCTAGCGGGTATCATTGTTGTATCCTCTCACGTTCTGAGTGATTTTTAGTTAGTGTAAGCCGTTTTTACGGCAGAAAAAGGGGGGGGGGGGTACGCGTTCTCGGGCCAGTGGGGGAACTCCCATAGTAAAGCATAGGGGGACTGTCCTAGTGGCCGTTGCCATGGCAACGGAGGTCTGACGGTGAAATAAACTGGTGTATTTTACTTGAACCGACGTCAGTACCAGATATACTAAGCAAATTTCACCAAATTTTACACGGTTTATTAATTCCCGTGGGGGTTCAAGGCGGCACAACACAGTTTTAGCCCTATGGGGATTTCTATAGTTAAGGACCCCAAAGTGACTCACTTCGACTCACTGAAAATCATAGTAGGGTGCACAAGCAAGGTTCAGATTTTTGATATGTTTAATTTCAGGGTATAGTGTACAACATATGCGAAAAATGAGCTCAAATTTGCCGGCTAGTTTTCTTCTCATGCCCTCTTTTATTAGCGCCATTGCGGAGGTCATGGAACTGCAGCCGACGCACAGTACTAGGCGGGACAAGTATCCAAGCGCAAATCTACGCCGACTGAACACGCACCATAAGTCAACTTCTACAGTCTCAAAACTGACATATTCCTCTAACATTTACCACAGGTTCTATCTCGATACCATGCTCAGAACAATCTCTGCACCCTTCTCTAGTATTGTGCAGCACTACTTTGTGCCCGGACTACTTTTGACTACGGGGTTCGCCCATAAATACTGTGTTGTGCGGCCTTAAACGAACTTGACCTTGAATTTTTTTCGTTTATGCGATAAAACTAGTCAAGATGTGAAACTTGGCCAAATTTTATCCCACAAATCCAAACTGTTGCTGAGATTTCGGCAACTTTGCACTTCGGCACCTGTCGTAGGGCTAGGTCCCGTACAAGGCCCTAATGACGGGCCATTTAATGGTCTTCTTATCAGGTCAAGTTTACTATTCCAGCCGACTTTTTCTGGCTAGCGGGTATCATTGTTGTATCCTCTCACGTTCTGAGTGATTTTTAGTTAGTGTAAGCCGTTTTTACGGCAGAAAAAAGGGGGGGGGGTACGCGTTCTCGGGCCAGTGGGGAACTCCCATAGTAAAGCATAGGGGACTGTCCTAGTGGCCGTTGCCATGGCAACGGAGGTCTGACGGTGAAATAAACTGGTGTATTTTACTTGAACCGACGTCAGTACCAGATATACTAAGCAATTTCACCTAAATTTTACACGGTTTATTAATTCCCGTGGGGTTCAAGGCGGCACAACACAGTTTTAGCCCTATGGGGATTTCTATAGTTAAGGACCCCAAAGTGACTCACTTCGACTCACTGAAAATCATAGTAGGGTGCACAAGCAAGGTTCAGATTTTTGATATGTTTAATTTCAGGGTATAGTGTACAGCATATGCGAAAATGAGCTCAAATTTGCCGGCTAGTTTTCTTCTCATGCCCTCTTTTATTAGCGCCATTGCGGAGGTCATGGAACTGCAGCCGACGCACAGTACTAGGCGGGACAAGTATCCAAGCGCAAATCTACGCCGACTGAACACGCACCATAAGTCAACTTCTACAGTCTCAAAACTGACATATTCCTCTAACATTTACCACAGGTTCTATCTCGATACCATGCTCAGAACAATCTCTGCACCCTTCTCTAGTATTGTGCAGCACTACTTTGTGCCCGGACTACTTTTGACTACGGGGTTCGCCCATAAATACTGTGTTGTGCGGCCTTAAAAGACCCTCTGAAGACCCCCAAACTAGTGCGCGTGGGCGAATAAAAAAGTTCCGGCCAAAAATAAAAATGCTAATAAACCACAGGAATACACAGCTGGAATTGTGAATTTGCGGTAGTACTTAGCGACGTATACGACAAGCCGCAACATGCTGGCTTTTTGCGGAATTTATGAATCGGCACTGTACGTATGTACTGAGTTCTTGCGTCGTGGAGCTTCGGTAGCCTGGGTGCCCGGCTCCGTATTGTCGCTAACTACAATGGACTACCCAGTCCTAGAGCCAGGCCAGAGCCTCGGTGGACGTGATTTTTTTTTTTTTCAAACAGGGGAAAATCAATGCGCGCGGATGTCATCCATAGAATTAAGTCTGTGTGGCCTTATGGTAACAATTAAGTACGATCGGACCAACATATCTGAATCAAGGACACTCAAATAATTTCATTTGGACAGTTTTTGCCTATTGCCTAGGCCCGTGGATAGTTTATCAGGTTGGTGAGTCACTGAAAAAAGACTCTTTTTACTCATCCCACCAAATGTTTTATTCAGCAGACGTTTCGGTGACCGTCTGTAACCTTCATGAAGGCAATTGTGACTGGTTCACATTGCACAGCTAGGCGTTGCTGCCAATGGAGGAAAGTGGCGTACAGACGGTCACCGAAACGGGGCCGAATAAAAAGCTTGTTTGCGTAACAAGAGCATATTTATTCATTTTTTATTTAAAATAAAATATTCCCAACCTGTCTTCATAATCCTTGATGGCGCTCAGCCTATCGTCTATGAGAGAGATGGTGTCCTGGCACTTCTTTACGCAGTAGGCATTCCCGGCTAACGCCCCGCCGTTCAACAGTAGCCCTGCCACAGACAGAGCTTTGTAACCTGTTGTAACTCCGGCAGCGAACGCTAGGGGGAGGTTCATTGCTGCACCAGCTACTCCAACTGCACTGTTGGAAGAAATTAACAATTCACCGGCGATTAAAAAATACTCTAATGTGTGTCATTTTAAATCTATCATTCCAAATAAATTTTATTTCTTGCCCAGTTATCCAATTCCAGTTATCCAATTTACCCTGTACCCTGTACCTAACTAGTATCGGGCCGCAAGCCGTTTTCCTTCGGCAGCCAAGAACCCTTCGCCCGCCTTTCTAAATTACCGTTACGGGGGAGTTGAGCCCGAGGGGTTTGTCCGGCCCTATTGTAGGGCCAGCCAACCCCCCCACCCCCCCCGGGCTAGACTCCCCGTAGCGGTAATTTACACCAGCGGGCGAAGGGCTCTTGCGGCCCGGAAAACGAGTTCTGGCTTCCAAGGTATATATAATGCTGCTGGCGGAAATTAGCATAGTTACTCCCTTTTTTTTCCTTTAAGAACCTTTCCGTTACTTTGCTTCCGACCACTATCCAACAATGGTCGGCGTTTAACTTTAACCAGCCATGGTCGGGAGACGGTCGGGAAGCTATGGTCAGCTATGTGTGACAGAGGTTAGCTTAGCTGAGTACCATGGAATCATGGCGATCAGGTGTTTGTTTCTACGGCCACAGACGGCCCGTCGGTCCTTGTTGACATCCCTGCGGAGCAACTTGAGGTCATGGCGGATGTTTCCTAGGTCAGAGGTCAGCATGTTGATGTCCAGAAGCATCATAGGATCTGTCTGATCCTCCTGTAAAAACAATATTGTTAGCATATCTTGTGTATATTTATTACTACTTTGTAGCAAAAAACTCCAGGCCTAGCCTACGGGAAGGATTTTCATGTTTTGTGACACCCCATTTCCTGCAACAAACTTCTTGACCTCGTTCTATTCTGCTTGTCAATCTTCCCCGAACCAAGTGCTGTCAACTTACTCCGAAAAAACGCTTAAGTACTTATATTATACTTAATATAATCTAGGTCGTTCATTATCTGTGCAAAGTTTGTAATTGTCGCATCATATATGGGTGGATAACAAAACTGACAATAACAAAAATATCAATATGTTACCTCCTCAAATTTGTCCAAAATCCTTGTGAAATCCTTGTCAGCCTTGTCCAGTCTGGACTTGATGTTGGTGAGTTTCCTGTCGTAGTCAGTCGATATTTTGTCCTTGACTTCCCTCAGCTCGTTTGTAGTTTGACGACATTGCCACAGTGACAGAGCGGAGAAAACTGCACTCGTTATGAACTACATAAATTACAACAAAGGAGAATAATTGTTGTGAAAAATCCTTGGTCCAGCCTAGCGAACTACTTGACTGTTTATTTTTTCTCAAACATATCCATATGATTATATATTGTGATCAGCCCCTTCAATACTGAACTGCCATTACTATATAATATAATATGATCTAATATAAACCTGTACACCGCCTGGTGTCTGCCAAAGCACCAGTTACCGTGGTGAAATGCGTCTTGATCAGATTATTTACCTTATTTTTTATTTCTATGGAGAAGGATGAGAAGAAGAAACAGGGCAAAACAACATTTTTCTTCTACTATTATGATTCCAAACATTTTGCATGTGGAACTTATTACATTATTGGGTATCATTCGTAAAACGTTAGTAACTGATAAATCGCTATCACCTGGTACCGTATAACAGAAGTCATAAAGTTTCTCCTGATGTCAACAATCTCTTGGCACATCCTCTGCCATCCGGCACCAGGTGTCATTTCCAGGCAATCCGCAAGGAGCGCTGCGCTGCGTTCCTCCGCGACCACGGCGGTAAATTCGACATCTTGAAAGAAGCACATGACCGTTTCCTTGGAGACGGGTGTCATCCCCCACATGCGCTGTACCAGGCTGGTGGTGGTTGAGCAGAAGTTACTGGTCTTAATGATGCGGTTCACATCCAATGCGGTTGAGACAAGAAGTCCCAACAACTCCGCTATCGTCAAACCAGAGGCTGTTTAATGGAGTAGAATCAAATCAGATTTTAGACATGTGGGAAGTGTTTGGAGTTTGCCAGGGGGATATAATATGGCCAGGGCTAGCCTGATTTATACTCGGCTGCAAAGTCATTTTTATTCTTTTCTTTGTTCTCCATTTTTATTCTTTTCTTTGTTCTTCGTTTTTAATTTTTTTTTCTTTGTTTAAACATGACATCAAAAAGGAAATCTTACAGCAGGGATAAGACTCCCTAAATTGCAAAGAGTCTGCGTACAAAATTACAAATTACAACGGACAAGACAGGAAATATGTACATCCCTTATATACATTATAACACATTACTTTGTACCAAGCAAACCGGCTTCTAACCTAAATTCAGATGAGGTTAAGGAAAGGTGATAAGCTAGTGATATGACGGATCTTTTGTCCTTGTCGCCCCTGGCATACTGTGGGCAGCATGGATACTAGGTGGTTATATACATTAGACAATCATACACACAAACCTTTATATTATATTAGTTCAGCCACCCAAGACAGTATCTCTATCCCCAGAGGTAATAACTTTACATTCTTTTTTATTTAGAAACACTGTGACAAAAACAAATGAAAGGTAACAAACAAAGTGGCTACGGACTCAAGTTATGTACAACTTATGTTCTCACAGCCACTTTCACAATGGAAAAAAGTCTAAATTACTTTTAATGAACTTTCCACTTGTTTCAGAAGACATATAAAGTACACAAATCCATATAATGTTAGAGTTACAGGTCTAATAATAATCTAAACAGTAGACGTATTTATGCATTACCTATCTCCAGAGCGCAGCAATAGTTTCCGATAGCTTGGACGTCATCCTTGATGAGGCCTGGAAGGCTCCGCAAGAAAACCTGAAAAAGTACAACTTTACCGCTGTAAGAGTTCAGTGTACTCAACAATGTGATACTGAGTTATTTAAGTATGAAATGTTGTTTAAGAATGATTTGAATTAAGCAACGACGTTACCTTAATTTCAGCGGCATGGTCCCGCGGATTCGACACCCACCTCTGTACAAAATATAACATGAACAAAGCATGAACCAACGTGGCATTTTACGTTTAAAATTTTAGCGATTCCGCCCCCCACCAAAAAAGTCAGTTATTTACTCGAAAACGTCTGTTTATGCTTAGGTCACATTTCCAAACCGGGGCCCGGCCGGGCTGATTGCATGAGCGAAAAATTAACAATTCATATCAAGAAGATACAGAAATAGTACCCATGAAATTTTGTCTATGTTTTGTTGTCTTTTATATCGTACTTTTCGTTCCTAAAAGCTGTCCGGCCGGGCCCCGTGTGGGAATTGTGACCTCAGCATTAAGCATGTCCAAGTACAGAAATTTGTTGAATAATTCATAGTGTTTTGTTGTAATCGGGAGAATTTATATTATTGCATGCAAACACTCTCAAAACGATCAAGTCCTGCGTTTTGAAATGCCTATACTGTTGACGATAGCAACAAGGACTATTTTAACAAAGGTTACTTTAAAATTTCAAGTTGTTATTTCAACCGAACCCGTATCAATATCGTTGGAATTGTTAATCAAATTCGTGCACCTGCCATACCTATGGTACGGTGTTGAATACTAAGGGGCGGGGGTGGGGGGCGAAATCTACGGAGGCGGGGCGAAATCGCTATCGATCTCAAACACCCCCCTCCCCCAGGGTGAAATCGCTGGGGGGCGAGATCGCTGTGACACCGGTACGCGGTAGTACCCACGTCACTTCTCAACAACTAACCGCCCGGCCTGGCGCTATAAAAGCCCTAGACGTTGAAAAATAAGGACGTTTATACGAAGAGTCATTGAAAACTCCCGCCTGCCAGGGATTATCATGAGGTCATAGGCATTGTGTTCTGAAACGTTACGTCAGTCGTGTTAATGTCATCATTCTGGCCCAGCAGATAAGTAGTTACAAAGGTCGCACTGTGGGCTATTTAGAGAGATTTGAATATAGGCAACCCGGCTTATGGCGAGGTAAGATTGGGAATCTATCACAGGGCACTATATATATATAAGATACAGGCAAATACGTCCTTCCAGAATCACCACGGTTATACAGCTCCAAACCCAATCCAATTGAACAACATGCATATCCCTCCCCCCCCCATTTATTTCGTGGTATGGCCCACTGAAAGCTAAATAAATAACTGCACGGAAAAACCCTCTGCTATGCAAACCATGCCAATTAATTGGTATACTAGTAACGTTATCGGCCTCAGCGTTAGAAATATTAGTAGATTGCACAGGAGTCTAAAGAAATCCAGAGGTAAACAAAGTATAATGGCATTTGAAGTTTAAAATTTGACAGAATATGAAAAGAAATGGAGACTTTCCTAAATTAAGCAGACCCAACGGCTTTCTGAATTCCCCCATATATTCCTGCTGGCTTGTGGCCCCTCCCCATTTTCTCTCTCTGACGTTTTGACCTGTCATTCAGTCTCTCAATACCTTTCTCCCAGGTGTTGTCTACCTACTCTGTCCGGGCATTCAGATTACACCCCCCACACACACCCACCCAAAACAATACTCACACAATACTCAGTACACGAATACTTCCTATGCTATTTTTTAAAAATTATCTCGAATTCTTAACACTAGAGCGCTACTATACAAGAACATTTTCTGTGAAGGTTCAGAAGGCACCCAGGTAATAAGATACTCCTATCAACAATTACACAAGCAACTGGATATGATATTGGTCATGCATATCAATCAATACTTCGTACTTCGTACTTATAAGTCTGGTTTTCTGACAATTCTCCAGTGTTACTGCAAGGTAGTGGATGCCATACCTGAAACGTCTGTCGGTTTCCGAAATCATATCCAGTTGCTTGTCATAATGAGTTGCTTGTCATAACTGTTTTTGGGCGAATTTTCTGTGCAGAATTACTATCAAACATGTATATTACCTACTTCATCTGTTGACCTGTACTTAGCCCGATAGGGCATGAATGTACAATAAAGGTTATTATTATTTATTATTACTATCACGATCGCAAAAAAAAAAAACTGGTAGCAATTTTATGTGTCGAGACAATTTTTTTTTCAAAAAATGCAGTCGCTCTATCAGCTTTCTGACAAAAGTTTACTTCGCTCTTTATGTCGTGATTAATGTATCAACAATTCAATACGAATGTGTACCTTACCCCTATGGCCACCTCCATAGCTGCCCGCTAGGCTGCCGAGCAGCAGGTACAGCCTACCCACCTCTGATCACTTCTGCACAACTGATCGGTAGCCTCGACAAGTAACGGTCACTTCGATCCTGTAGAAAAACATAGAAAACCCCCGTGCGTTGAAAAACAATGCGGGAGTTTCCAATGACTCAAGATTGAGTCATTGAAAACTCCCGCCGTCTGCGGGGATTTCCATGACGTCATGTGTTCAGTCGGACCCTCCACGGCGTCAACCATTTTACTCTAGTAGGGGTGAACGTTCAACCCTGCTTTCAAATCACATCCGATCCTAATGTAAAAGAAAGCAAACCGAATTCCATATTGCGTATACATATATATATATAGAATGTTAAAAATCATTGCTATATATAACCTCAATGCATATACCCCCTCCTCCAACTGATTCGTGGTACGATCCACAGAAATATTGATTGTCTTTCTTCCCCACAGTTTCGATGACGCACGCATCTATGGAAACAACATGACTGTACGGAAACCCCCAGTATGTATGAACATCGACAATCCTTGTACATGTAGTAACGTTATCAGTCTGTGCGTCGGAACCCGAGTCTGAAGGACCTCTCTGTAGGGCAGGCCTACAGAAAATACGGACTAAGAGGTATAATATTTTATACAAACCTTTACATGTGCAATTTTTAAGTTAACATTACTGCATGCATCAGTGAAAATTAAGAGTTTTTAAAAATTGTTTGATTTATGGCAACAAAAATTATATGATTTTTGACCCCGTGGTAGCTTTCATAGGTAATGACTTTTAGGTTGTTCATATTTGTTACTATCGATTCAGTGGCATATTAAGTAATTAGTACATGTACAATTTATTTTATTATAAAAGAGAAAGCAACGCTGTGCGAATTTTGAAGAAAATTTCAGTAAGCTAAACAGGGATGCATTGGGGATTTTCCAAACCCGGGGATTTCCCCACGTCGGGTTTTTTTCCCCACCTCAGGGATTTTTCCACCTCGGGAATTTTTCTCGCCTAAGAAATTTTCCAACCCCGGGGATTTCCGCACCTTTAGGGGTTTTTCCCGCTTCGGGGATTTTTTCACCTCAGGGATTCTCCCATCCTGGGGACTTCCCCACCGCGGGAATCTTATTTACCCACCTAGTGGGGTTTTATTCTCAATGATCTATTGGTTTTGTTTTCTCACGTCGGGGATTTTCCTATCACGGGACTTCCCCGTGCACATCGGCAGAACGTGATGTGCATAGCACTAGCACAGACTTTACGTGTGTAAACGATTGCCGATCCCCAGAGTTCTCGCTACCAGACAGTACGCAATAACATTATAATCTCTTTCAGTCTGAACGTCTCTAATCCATCGGAGGGCCATATATACGGTGGACGTCAAGATGTCTGAATACGTGGTAGGCATAAAATATATACGTTTTACCTCCATGAAAAATGGAGGTATTGTTTTTTGGCGTGTCTGTGTGTGTGTCTGTGTGTGTGTCTGTGTTTGTGTTTCCTCACATTTGTAGTCAGCATAACTTCATAACGCCTTTATGGATTGTTATGATATTTGGTATGCTGGTAAGTTGTAGGAAGACAAAGGTCAAGGTCAAATATAGGCCTCCTGGTGGATGACCTTGGTACTGCAGCAGAACTTCCAGTTTTTGTATCTATTGTCCTGAACATGCTATTGTGAATGTGTGTGCATCTTTTGTGTGCAAACAGTTGAATTCCCTAGTCACAGACCATCAGTTGTCAGACCCTGGAATTAGGGCCCAAGAAGCTAGCCTCCACCACACACATGGAAAAAGTTAAGCCGGGTATTGATTTGCGTGTTTCATTACAATTAGCCATGCGTTTGCAAATACATACATTACAGTCCTTCGGGACAAGTGATATTTTGGTATATATTTTGGTACTTCTTCCTAATGGATTACACGAGGAAAAACACCTGACACATTTGTCTTTTTGACTGACTTTTTCTGGATAATTCTCTCCCTTCTACAGCAGGATGCCATGAATCCCAACAGGCAGGCTGAAGAGATGGAGGTAAGGTGACGGTTTGATAAATACTATACTGGTGATCTTTTTGTAGACAATAAAATCCATGGCTCATTGCCAAACACTCATGCATATATTACATAAAGAACCATAGATCTAAAAGCAAACCCATTATTCAGTATTTTTAAAAAGTCGATTATTAAACAAGAATAATTCAATATTTTAATGCGTGCGGCATCATTTTTTTCTTTATTTAGTTCGTCAACCAGCTGTTGGTGAGGTTGAATCATGACCATCGTCCTGGACAGCCTGCTGCTTCAGGTGGTAAGATGGGTTATGACGTGGTTGTTGCTGTGATGTTGTTGTTGTTGTTGTTGTTGTCGTGTTGTTGGTGGTTGTGGTGTGGACATGTGTGTGTGTGTGTGTGTGTGTGTGTTTGTTTGTTTGTGTGTGTGTGTGTGTGTGTGTGTGTGTGTGTGTTTGTTTGTGTGTGTGTGTGTGTGTGTGTGTGTGTGTGTGTGTGTGTGTGGTGACTGGCTGTGTGCGTGTTTGGCCGTGTGTGGTGTGTGTTAAACTGTGTGTGTATGTTTGACAGTGTACGTGTGGATGTGTGTGTGTGCTTGACTCTGTCTGTGTGTGGGGAAAGGGCATGCGCCCGCGTACCATTATTATGTTTTTGTGTGCGTTGCTATGCGTGCCTGCATGCGTCGTTGCCAGTATGTGTTCATTTGCATGCCACCATATGTATGTCTGTATACGTGTACGCGTGGGTCACTTCAATGTGCGTGTGGTGTTTGGTGTCTGAGGTGTGTGGATGTGTGCGCCTCTAGTGTGCGTATGTGTGCGTGTGTATATTTGTATTTGTTTATGCTTGCGTGTATGTGCATGTGTGTTTTAGGAAAGGAGGGATGTATTGTAAAGATATATAGGGCGAGCACTTGCTTGATTTAAACGTCGTAAGGGAGGGAACACGTGCATTTGGCATAGCAGCATCCCAGTTTATTAGACTGTTTTTTTCGCATTAGATTCCTCCTTTGATACTGCGTACCTCGGCCACTTGCAACTAGCAGGCGAGGCTGTTAGAGGGGTGTACCAGTCTCTCTACGTCGATAGACAGTTCATGGAAAAGGCCGGCTGCCTCATGCGTAAGGCACAGAAGCATTACATGGACTCTAAGTCCTGTAGTGTTGCCGAGCATGTAAAGTGGGTGGAAGAGGTAAGTCCGGACATGAATTGTTGTTCAGTTATCTTGTCTACATTATTTGTATCCTGAAATGTGACCCCGATTTACCTAGGCAATTATGACAGACAAGAAAGCAACTCAGCCACCCAAAAGCAATACTGTCGTATCCAAAAGTAAATAAAATCTTACCAATGCATTGGAAGTAAGTTTAACACCTCCTATGTACCGACACTTACAATTCTTTCTCCTGTGACTAATCTATAGTTGACATTAGAGGCTTGAAGTAGCCATCTTTTCTCTTGTACTTCATCTATACAGTTCTGTGGCAGCGAAGAATGCAAGGACGTGTTGAACAGCACAACCTCTAAGGAGTTAATGCTGAAGTGCAAGGACATGGAGCCCAAGGCGGCAGCAGAGGAGATCTGTGGGAAACTCCAGACCGCCCGTCAGGACTACGTGGGGAGGGTCATCAAGTTCCAGGTGAGTCGACTACTATCCTAGATTTGTGTGGCGCCATGGTTACTGATTTGTGTTTTTTCCAGAACACATATGTCTCTGGAATAGATTCAGTACAGGCCTCTATGTTGTGCCATATGGTAAGAAACTTCACACGGTTGCGTGATAACAGAGCGTTCGGCTCGGAACAAAGAGGTTCCGAGATTGAATCCTACCATGCCACCGATCTCGTGCCCTTGCCCTTTCACAAATCTCCTCAATCGGCTCAGGTAAAAATTGCTGTTGTCTGTTCATGCGTTTGTTTGCTTCGGTGGTGGCATAAAATAATTTAAAAAAACTGGAGTGTGGCGTCGCCATGTCCTGTAATAAATATTGAAATCAATAGAAAAGTTTCCTTACTTTAATGGCTAAATGACCGCATCAGTTGACTGCCATTGAAAGTTTGTGAGCACCAATCGTTACTTATCGATCCAACTAACTCCTTAAGCGAAACAAGCCTATACAGTATCATCGTGCAATAATAATGTCTTTTTATTTTTTATTTTTTTTTATTTGTCTAGTTTGGCTATAGCCTCTTCAACTTCGTGGTCGTGTTCTGTGAGTGTTGGGAGACCTGCAGCCAGCTGAAGCAGTTTGAGATCCATTGTAAGGGCTACGACGAGCGTCTGGATAACATCATAGCCCGTCTCAGGGAGGAGGAAACCAACCTGACAGAGATGACCATCAGATTGAACGAGGTACGTCATCATGGGTTGGTGGAAAAAGCGGTCCAGTCCGGACTGATCATGAGCAGGGGGTTGAACAGAAGACGACCACAAAATTTGCGACCCCTGGATTTACAAACGTCATTGTGCTAACGTCATTGTTTACGCATATCGTTTGTGTAGTTTCTGTGACATTTTACAATCATGTGTATCATGCAAAAATCAAAAAAAGCTTTCATACTAAACGCTGCATTATTTCATTACGACGCGGTCACATTTTTTGAAGGCCGAAGATTTGGGGCAGCATTTCAAGAATTTTCCAGGACACATGCGCGACTAACCAAAGGACGTTACCGTTCTCTGTTAGACTCTAAGTTGTGCGAGGTCCGTGTTGTACATGTGCAGCGCTGTGCGTACTCTATAGATTAGCCTCTACCAGGCTTGGGGAGGCGGCTGGAAAGAGTAGATATCAGCCAAATAGAGAGATAACATGCCAAGGGAGTTGGTCTCCAGCTATCGCTATAGCCTGATAGAGGCTAATATACATAAGTGATTTAGTATTTCAGCCGTCTTTGTCAGTCCTGAACTACTCGAGGTTTTGCAATTTTTTAACATCAATATTCCTTTTTTTCTGACAGTCGAGGGCCATCACCACCATGGAGGTGTACAACATACTGATGAACCTTACAGGAATCCGCCAGGAGTTGGAGATGCTCAAGCAAGAGTTGGAGCACAACAAAAAGGACATCAAACGCAGGAGGAACGGGCATATGTCTGGTGCAGCTGCAGGGTGAGACATGTCAAAGTTGCCTAATAAAAGACTTCTGACTGTCTATTAGCAGTACAACCAATGATCAAAAGACAATTAGTGTTTGGGCAAATTAGAGAGTGTCTACATGACTGTCAAACACTATTTAACTAGAACAGAAAAACCGCTGAAAGTAAAATATGCAATATATAACCATGATTACAATTTGCATGTCTACGTTTTGACAGAGGTAGCCGAGGCAGGTCAGATATACATTATACTTTTTAAACTGATTTTCATCTATTGCTTATATAATATATTGGTTGCCCGATCTGTGAAGAATACGCGTTTCTTTCATTATTACCATTATTACCAATTTGTTTTACTGTTTCTTTTAATTAATGGAAAAAGTCTTATTTCTCTAATTTACCCGAGTTGTAAGTTGGTATGTCTGCTTTTCTTTAGTTTGCAGGACTTTTTCAAACTTTTAAAAAAGCACGTGAGCTTGGCTTACTATAGATTACAAAATGCCAGGCACAGGAAATTAGGTCACAGAAACTGGCAGGGAGCCAACAGGAAGTTTGTAGTGAAGACAGATATTTTCGCATTGAAAGAAAAGAATAAATTCACTTAACTGTTACTATTTCTTGTTTTCATTAGCTTTGTGAATGTGATCCGTGCTTTTGCGGACTACGGCCTGGCCACCACTGCCGGAGTGGGCACAGGGCTGGTGTTGGCGGCAGGAGCGCTGAACAGTGCCGCCACAGTCGGGCATGTGGGCACAGCTCTGTGGTGTCAGAAGGACCTGGACATGATAGAGGAGCGCCTTGTCAGGGTGAAGGGATACGAGGAAAGGTACGCAGGAGACGTTGAAGTTGCTGGCGATATGAACATGTACTTTGGTCATGTGTTGCAATAAGAATATTCTTGATCGTCTTTACTCACTTGTTAATTACGGAAACGGAAGTATTGCTTTGGGGGGCTGGGCTGTGGGTTTGTGTAACTGTCGATTAAAACAGGGTATGTTAACAGCACTTGGGTGGAAGAATCAACAGGCAGAAAGTTAGTAGATGAAACAGAAAGGATGGGATGAACGTGAAGGTCTCAGAATTTTGTCGGGATCCAGCAAGAATATTGTGATCCACATTGGGAAATCCAGGAAACAAATTATTGATTACATCCTAGGGGTCTCATAGAGATAAAAATATTTTTTATGTGTTCACTCAACATGCGATGGATACATTTTAATCCACAACATATCCTAAGTCTTACCCCGAGCGTCATTACTGCTACTAAAAGCAAAAAAAAAATTGTATTGTTTTATCTGTTTCAGTTGTATGCACATTTGTAATACTGGTTCTTGTAAAAAATACTTTTTGTCAACTGTCCTAAGTTTTTTGTGTCCTAAATTAGCGTTACAAGCTCATCGGTAGAACTGACCCTTCATCTTTTTTTAAATTAGGGCGAAGAACATAGTTCGGCGGGTGGAATCTCTGACCCAGAAGCTGAGGATGATGCACGCCGCTCCTGCTGCCCAGGCGAACATCTATGCACGGGCTATTCCCTCTCCGGTAGCCTAATACGTCAAAATCGTCTCACAGAAACGATGTTATACACAACATCAAAAGAGTAGGGGGGACGCATGTTTTATCACAATTAGAATGTGTATTCTAACATAAACCCCGAGAACTTTTTTGTTTAAACTTAAGTTACAGAATTTTTGCAAAACGAATTCCTTCACCATGGTAACCCAAAAATTATAAACTTAAATGATATAAAATTACTGTCCGTAATGTGTTTTCCAAAAAGTCATTAATTTAGGTATGGTAGTTTAATTAGCGCGTGTCGTTCAGACGTTCCTTAGACGGTCCTAAGCAGATCCTACCTTTGGCTCCAATTTTTACTATATCCATTCGCCATTTGATGAGTACCATACCACACAACTCGGCATATCATTATAACTGGTGAAGAGAATGCATTTTTACCAACATTCGAAAGATTTCACCCTCACTGTTCCTCCTAACCTCCAAAAACCTCCACAATGGACCAAACGTTTCGAGAGATATTTTCAAGGATTTGAAGGATGCTAAGTATGCACTTTATAACTGGATATACATGTGCTATATTTAGTGTATTGCCGGATAATAGATTATTAGTAAGTTTAATATTATTTCAACATCTCGATACATTCCTATCATCAATACGTATTATGGGTGTATAGTTTCTTGACGATAGAATTTGCGCACACTGCAGCATGTTGTGAACGCAACAAGGATTAAAGTAATTTTTTTGGTGCCATGACCTGTGTCTTTTCTTAAATATTATGTAAATATTGTCCAATGAATGCAGTGGAAAATGAAATACATTTTGTTAGCCAGTGTCCTCACAATGAGACCGAAAGAAACAGATTATTTCAGACAGTTACAACAATTTCTCCATCCTTTTGTCATTTAGAAGATCACCAAAAAACTGCATTTCTACTAAGATCACAAAACCCACTAATTATGCAGAATGTGGGACTATTCATTATCCACTGCCTCCAAAGAAGAAGTCGAACCACATAATAGCTAGCGTAGTAGTAGTAGTAGTAGAAGTAGAAGTTTTTCCAGACAGTTGTTACCTGTCTCCTGTTACTGTATTGCAATGAGTATTATACTTGATTGTACAAGCAATTAGCCTTCGGGCATGATTTTGGAAATAACGTTTGTTACATGTGAGGTAACATACGAAGCATCAGATAATTCCTGGATAATTCTTCAATCGTGTCATAAGTGGGATTATATCCTTCTAAGACAAGCACACACACACGCACACACAGAGGAAGAGAGAGAATCGTTATGCCTACCACCTACATAAATTTAGAGTCATTTGGTGTACGTTTCTTCATCTTATTGACTTAATATTCTTACGTCCACGGCAATGGAAAAAAAGAAATAACCTTACAGGAGTATACGATCCAGTCGATATATTCTTTCGTGCTTCTCACACTGATCATGTATTTATGTTGTGTAGGCAACGTTATCGTTTTTTTTTGGGGGGGGGGGCGTTCACAGGAAGGATTTTGACAAAACATATCATATAAGGTCGTATATAACATTTGAAGGTTAACATCCCGTTCGTTTCCAAATGTTGTGTTGCAACATTATATAACAGGACAAATCCCGATGCAAAGTTGACCAAATATCCACCAAAAAACGAAAAAAAAAATCAGAAATTTCCGCAGTTGCAGTACATTCTGCCACCGTGATGTATATATGGGGGTAGTCGGTGGCGGCCTTGGGTTAATGATAAATAGCGTAGCCTATATAGCATTAGACTTTGTTCCGTTAAACAGGCCGCGTATGTAAACAATACATTTATCATTCTGGGCCAACACACATTAGTCGTCGATGCGGTGTGACGCCCTTACCATCGCGGTGTCAAAATCCGTGCACTTCAACAAAACACGTCACGTGTTTGCTGACCGGTAGTTGACAACAGTGCCAGTGTCTTTGGTGACAATTTGTATCCTTATAATTAATACCTACACTTACGTCACATGGGAGAGTCATGGCACACACTGTGAAGGGAAGAATCCAAACAGGTGACCCAGTACATTACCTTGCAGAAAATCTGTACTTCGTAGGTGCAGCTATTTTTGAGGTACCATGGTTGACATGTATAACTATTGTTATACTGTGTTAAAGTTTATCATCTAGTGATTGATTCTGACTATCAACATCAGGGTCAGAGAGAAATCCCTACTGACCTACAAATAAATGTTCCTTACTTTCTGATCCATGAATGTCGTACTTCAGCAGGTTTACAATACATTGTACTTTGAGGCCACGTTAGGAAAATCAACGGAGAAAAACAAGAGCAGTGCAAGTTAAAAACTATTGAGACTTAGAAGGCTTATATTTCCTGAGCTTTAGGCCGCCAACATGACCAATGGATCAAACAGGCATGGATGAATTAACTTGCTGGCTAGGTAGAATTTAGCATACACTAGTTAATGATAAACTGTATAGATAAGCGACGGACAGGCAAACTTTGACCCCCAAATACATAGTTTATGGTACTAAAAAAATAAAGTTAGTAAAAAGTAAAAGGTATACACACTGAGCTGTTGATCCACTGGGTCTAGGGCCCAATATTGGAAGGCAGAGCCCATCCCTCTCATTTCGACGCATTTTACTTCCCCACCCATGCCATGTATCCTTTTTACACCTAGGTGGAGTAGAGAAATTCGTGCCAAGTGCCAAGGATTGCACATTGAATCTGCATAAATGGAACACTATATATTTACCGCCAGTAAGATATAGCTACACTTGATACCGATACGTTGAATTTTTTGTTTCCATTCTACATACCACAGGCAATACATTAACCATCTTCTTTTATGTGCTTTAGTTCTAGGACCTATTGAACCCCAGAAGCTCGGAATGACCCTAACTCACGAGCACCTCGTAGCGGATTTCTCAATATTCCAGGCACCACCACCCAAACATGCCCCTCACATGGGCACACTGTCCCTCACCATGGAGAACCTGGGTTTGATCAGACAGTACCCGTAAGTACCTCTGACTGTCTATCACAATTAATGGTTCGACCAATAAAAGATTGCCAATTACCGGTTGGACCAATAAAATGAAGGCTGCATGTTTGTGCAATCAGCGGTTCGACAAATGAGAGAGAGACTGCATGTACGTCATATATATTTGCATTTTCTTTCTTTATTTTGCATTCTGATGTTTTAAAGGAGGTAGTTACAGGCGGGGCAATTCACGTAGATGCCTGTTATTAGACGATAAATTTAACCCTAAACAGTACACCTGGGGTCCGCGCGGACCCCAGCGCTATATATTCTGTAATATCTTTTTTGTTTCTAAAGATTTTTTTCTGAAATTTTAGGTAATTGTCACCCACAAAGTTGTCTCTCAATACAGTGCAGAAAACTCCGTTTCTACCATTTATAAAAGAATTATATCTGATTTTCTTTTGGGGTCCGCGCGGACCCCAGCCGGCTTTTGATCATAATGGATACACTAGCGTTCTTATACATTACCTTATTTCCGTTTTTATATGTTTTTATGCACTCATCGTATGTCTACCAAGTTTTCAGAGAATGGTGTAGTAATAGAATTAAATTTTGATAACTCTGGTGTAATTATGACGTCATATGACGTCAGAGTTAATAATATAGTCCGCCATATTGGATTTTGACCAATGACGTCATCAAATTAGCATATTCTATGCTTATTAAATGATTTAACTTATATTTGATTATGTAAGATGTTATTAATGTTGGAAAAGAAGTGTAATTTAATATAAAAGTCAGAAAATTTTTATGTTTAAAACAAAATTACTTCTATTTAAAAAAAAACTGCCTGTTAGAAACCCGTTGCCATGGCAACACAAAAAAACATCAACTTACTAGTATTAAACTAATATGAACTTTTTTCCAGAGACATTTTAGGAAAGGTCTCCAAATTTGATACTTCTAGCGCAAGCCGTTTAGCCGCTATCTGAGATCAAAGTTGGGCCTCAAAAGCCCCTTCAGTCTGAAATGGGTTTAAAAATCGGGTATTTCCTCTTGTCTTCTTTTCTTCACCAAAAAATAGAAAAAGTTCAAAATGTATGATTTTTGTATGTAATGTGGACAAAGAGGTTCCCACATCAGTTTGCAAAACAATTGAGCTGGTTGCATGTTGAAAATTTCTAAAAATTAGCAAAAAACTGTTCTGGGGTCCGCGCGGACCCCAGGTGTACAGATTAATCAGTCCGGGAAGGTGTTCTGTTGAGGGTTAAGAATGTGCTTTTAACATTAATATCGCATATTCACTATGTGTACAAGCATCCGTGGTAGATGTAAAGATCAGGCTCATTCAGTGTTTTACATATATGTGTGTTTCGATACTTTTATTATGTATCAACTATATTTCTTCTAACTATTTACAGGTACAGCCTTTCAGCCAATATCAATCTACATGGAGAGGAGGAACACATGGGGGAAGAGCTGAAATTCTATAAAAAGAATGGAGGCTGTTCTATCGTTGAATGCACCTCCCTTGGCCTGAAAAGAGATGTCGGAAAACTGCGGAAGATTTCTATGGAATCCGGAGTGAACATCATCTGTGGCACAAGTAAAAACTAATTTGCTCTCCTTGTTTCAACATGACAAGTACTCTGATATCAATTAAACAGTAAAATCATGTTAACATCTGACTTCTGGGTTTTGGCTTTCCCTAATTAATTGAAACAACTGATGAGATTTTACATTTATGACGTTCATTATTAGGTACTAAGCCAAGAATAGTCTCCAGCAGACATTCCAAATGGGGTTATTATAGTAGAATTTAACAAAAATTTGGTCTGTCTGGCCAGTGGAGTAGCCCTAGGTCCACGTTAGGGTTTCGTGTTTCCCCCTCTGATGCTCGGGCAAATAAACTTTACGATGCCTCATCTCATCTGTCCATTATCATTCCTATTTGGCTATTTAACTGGTTTTGAATCCGCAAATTAATTTAGTAGACTAACAACAAGAACTCTACAGGGTTGGAATAACGCACATTCAATGATTGGCCTTATGGGCCATGTCGACCTTCAATTTCCTCTGGGTACCAACCAGATTTTAGGGTTTTCAAGCTCGCCCCATGTCCTGTGTTTGACCTTTTGACCTCCTGTTAATCTGCCTGACAATCCTCTTAACCCACGTGCTGGACATACGTACACACGAACCCACAGACCCCAAACAATACAATCGTATTCGAAACCATCTAGAACTGTGAACTTGTAAATCAGTTATGCACGGACCAAAGTAATTTCTTAACCTATTTTGTGTACTGAAGGTTATTATATAGACAGCACCCATCCGTCAGACATGGACACACTCACCCAGGAACAGCTGGTGTCTACCATGGTCCACGACATCACCGAGGGGGCTGATGGGACAAACGTGCGGTGTGGTGTGATTGGGGAGGTTGGCTGTTCTTGGCCCCTTACTGGTGAGCTAGTGGGATTAACGTTAGCTGACACTTTTATCATTAATATTTACATAAACGGTATTGCATTCTGATCTTGTAAATGTGCATCATAATAATAACAAACATCTTAATCATCATAGTCTTTTAACTGTATTTTCAGATAACGAAAGGAAAGTTCTAAAAGCTTCAGCCGCAGCCCAGATTGCCACCGGCTGTCCAGTCATCATCCATCCTGGACGGCACACTGACGCTCCTACCGAGATTATAAGGGTACTGCAGGAGGCAGGTGGTGACGTCAGGGCCACGGTCATGTCCCATCTCGACAGTAAGTAAAGGCAGACGGTGTGTTGCTCAACAACGCTGACCATATAATACACACATTTTGTGTGAACAATATGACCGATAGCTTTCTGTACGAACAAGAGCGGTTACTTCTGTATAAAAGAAAGGCCCTTGATCGAGATGAGATCTGTATTCACGGAGACTGGTGTATCTGGCGGCAGGATACAGCTCTCTCCGCAGATACTCTCATTCCCTGATCAAGGCGCTTTTCCCTAAAAGAAACGGCCGTCCTGTAGATGCACATAGAAACAAACTCTGTCCACTAGAAAGTATGCAAATGAAGCTATCGACCGATACGTCACACCAACTGATAAGCACAAGCAATGACTATTGATGGAGAACAGAATTACATGTGACAGTTTTCAAATCATTATTATTTCTGTTTAATATAGAAGTATTGCTTTGGGTGGTTAAGTTAATAGGTTTATCTGCCTTTCCAAAATAGCTTGTGTTGCATTATGGGTTGGAGGTGATTTTTTACAGTTGATAATTAGGATGTCACGGCTGAAGGCGGTCCTGCACGCGCAGGTTGGATATGGGTGGGTTGTTAAAGTGGTGTTAACCTTGATAAAATCACATCAAACAGATGAGATCTATGAGTTTTAGGGAGTAACGTAGCCTCCCAAATAGTCGCTGTAATATAAATATTCTTGTTCTTGATAGTTTGATTTCTCTTGCAAAATGTCATTGACTGTTTATTTATTTCATCATTGTTTGTTATAAACAAAATAAAGTTAAATTTAACAATTGAAGTTAAGTAGACATGCATGGGAGGGCCGGAAACCTGGTGGCTTATCTTTGGCCCTTCCCTATAATATAAGATTAAAAGTTACATTTAAAAGTACTGAATGGATTGATACGATTTTGACCCGTATAGGAACATTCTTCAGTGCTGAAGAGTTCCTGGAGTTTGCTCAGCTGGGGTGTTTCCTGGAATGGGACTTCTTCGGGCTGGAGGTGTCCGGTAGTCCGTGGCAGTCAGTAAAGACAGACATGCCCAATGACGCGGCCAGGATCAACATGATTCTACACGTGCTGCAGGAGGGACACGCTGACCAGGTGGTCATCTCTCATGATATGGACACCAAACATAGGCTGGTAGGGTAATATTTCATCTATACTTTAGAATCATTAAAGTATGAATAATCCATCCGTAGCAAAAACAAGTGCAATAGCTCAAATGGTAGAGTGCTCGATTTGTAACCGGGAGGTCGTGAGGTCAAACCCAGGCCGGGTCATACCAAAGACTTTAAAAATGGTACATACTTCTTTCTCTGCTTAGCACTCAGCATTTGGGGAAGAGTATGGGAGTTAAACACATGGGATGGGAGTGACTGCTGTGTGTGTCCCAGAGCTAATGAACGGAGATGGGCGCCGCCCTATGCGTCACTGGACGCGGGAAGGCTCTTTAACTATTAACTAACTTTTAACTAAAAGCCTCCTTTTTTTGGTTTCACTTTAATAAAAAAAAAATATAGTGTGTTTATTTTGTGGAAAAAAACTGTTTTGTAATCTCTGCGAAAATATCGAAGCAATTAGGATAAATTTATCGGACATCTGTGTCTTTCTTGTATTGTAAGATCTTGGTTTCATCCTACGTGAGGTTGAAGGGCGCCGGGCGTTACAAAAAGCTACCGGCTCATCAGATACATGTACTCTACAAGTAGAGCACGATGGATGTAGTGTGAAATATAACACGTTCCTTTTATAAATGTCCTCAATATGAGTTTAATAAAGAAAAAGGCTTTCTGCCATGAAACAGTAACCTCCCCATGCCAAGGTTTCAAGATCTAGAAAACCTGCAGAATCACATTTGTACAATCACAAAACCCACTTATATAATTAAAATTAAATGCACCAAGTCTCTCACAAACTTTAAAATCTACAGACTAGCCATTTTTGGCGACGCCTCAGGGGCGGAGCCCTTAGTATAGTACTGCGATTTTGGCGACGCCTCAGGGGCGGAGCCCTTAGTATAGTACTGCGATTGAATTGCCAGGAATTCTAAATATTCCACGCACGCATTCCCTAGGGAATTCATTTTTGGCAACACCTTGCGGGTGAGGTCTTCCCTCTCAGCTGCTTTTCAATGACTTTGGAGCTTTTCCGACAGCTTGGACAGGAACATTGTTTGGAATTGAACAAGGTCAGCATTTGAAGTCAGATGTTTCAAAGGAGATGTCGTGATTGTCTGAATATAAACCAATATGTCACCGCGTTTAGTTGTTGTTTTTTTCTAGTAGTTTTCCTTCTCTTCATGAAAAGTATGTGTTTGGACATAAGGCCATGTTGATTTGATTATATGGATGACATCCGCGCGCGCATGAATTTTCGGCCGTTTCCAAAAAAAAAAGTTTTCAACCATACTGTAAATCGTGCAGAACAGTTGCTAAATGAGCAAAAATTTACCATAAGTTGCAAGGAAAACATTTAGAAACGATACCAATGTCGTAGCTATAGAATGCCAAAATTATTATAAGTAGATTATTCGCCATAACATATTCTGTGCCATTTGTTCAACCTTCATGACCACGTAGATTTCATAGTGAAAGCAACTTTTCTTTTTTGCAAAACTTTTTTTTATTCGCACGCGCGCATCAGTTTTTGGGTTCCCAGAGGATGTCATCCATATAATCAAATCAACAGATGAATTCAAGTTCTTTTCAATGCAACTTTGTGAGGATAAAGGAAAGACGCAGAGACAAGGCTTTCCGCACACTGGGCACGGGAGACTTTTAAGACGAACTGGCTATGACTATATGATACTGGCTACGTTAACCCTTTCAGTCTTAACTGAGTTATATTTTCCTTCTTGAACTGACGTCCCTCGTCGTAGAAATCCTGTGTCTTTATATTATGTATTACCGCATAACAGTGGTACATCACTTCAGCACACATATTTGTAACCGGACCAATAACAGGGACTACAATAACAGAGAACTGTATAAGTAATTACAAGGGAACTGTTCGGAGTTTCATCAGGTCTTGCACTATCATCCTCTTACAAGTTAGTTAGAGAGTGCAATCGTACCACAGCTCCCATATACACCGATTGTTCAGCATATTCATGGTTTTCAAAATGTGTACATTCTCCTCGATTCGATTTGAACCGTCATTGGCGAGGTTTTCTAAATACATATAAAATAGGTCATTACAATATATACACTAAGATACCGTAAAACACAGGCAATGTATCATCGTAGTACAGACGTATGTAAGTCATCCCAGTAATCTCTAACTGGTGTAAGGTTTACTGTGGCTAGCGATGCATTACATAGCCTGCACGTGATGGCTCTGCTACTGATCTGGTTCCCTCCCATGTTGCCTTCTTTCTGTCGACGATGCTACTACTTAATACACATATGATATCAACATGCTCCTTCTACCATCATCAACAATATCGAAACAAAATTTTACACAAAGGAGACTGGAGTCAGTTGTCATGATCAGCTCTGTGACCGGGAGGCTTGAGTCAGCTGTGACCACGGCTTCTGGCATATGTGATTGTCCCGGCTTTAGCACGGCAACTGTCGGCTAGAGCTTGCGCACTAGCTAAGGCACATGGTACTGCAACTGTATGGAGAGAAGAAAGGCTGTCATTGGTCTGATAAGGTGTGAGGCTTGTTGCTAGTGTCAGGACAAAACAATAGACAGGACTTCACACATTGAAGGTATCTATACATGAAATACACTCCTACCATCATTGTATATGATACCTGACAAAACTCAAGATTAAATGGCTACCCTCTATCCACGGCAAGTTAGTCAACAGTAATATGCCTCTCACCGCGCCTTATAAAGATCTCGGCCAAAACATATCGTGGTGCGAACGTCACAGCAAATGGTAGCGGTTTGAAATGAGTCTTCAAAACAAGGTGTACATTTCCTAAACAAGTCATCGAAACGTAGAAAACAATTGAAGACAAGGCTGATATAGAATGTGCGTCAAAAGTACACATGACATGACAGCTGTGAACTGCATAAGTAGCAGTCCTTCCGCGCTTCATAAATTAACTTAGCCAAAACTGGCCGACGTTACCAAACATCCACACCCTGTAGAATTATCGATAAAAGTACGTATGAACTCACCTTTTTTATGTCTGTATCCCTGGTTGAGAGAAGGCAAAGGGGCTACGTATCTCCACGCCCGCCGGCCTGGGCAACTGTAGGGAAACAGCGGTGATTAGCCTCGTGTCATTATCGCGGGAACCGAAAAGGAGGAAAAAACGCTTATAATCTTACTTTTTTACCTGTGAATATGTTAAGAAGTGGCTTCCTTATTTTGGCAAGAAGGTAGCTTCGTTTCCTATTTGAAGATTTCGCTTCTCATTGAGCCTTAGGACTCGGCTACTAAAATCTGAAGTTTGTTTAGTATAAACTATTTTTGGCCCTGCCCAGCAACAAGCTTGACACCTAATTCGACCAATGGCAGCCCTGCTTCTCCCAGACATCCAGATACCACGTGTTTCAGAATCTCACACGCCACATGCCTTGCATTGGCCGTGAAAATAGTTCTATGTCGCCATGTGGGCCATAAGGAAATTCATGCCGGACACGAAAGCCGATCCTCGCCCGCTAGTTTTACGTTGACCAGTGCACGGGGAATTCTCCGTTTGTACCGAACGGGGTTTCCTTGTTCGTATCGCACGGGCCACGCTAAAACTTTTCCGGAATTGACCAATCAGAGCATCCATGTGCTCTCTCCTCGCGTCCTTTTCCACAAGCAGGACGGTTTCAGTTTATCGAGGGCATGGGCGATAAGACAAGTTTGGCTTATCTGTCTAGAATGCCCCCACACACATTGCAATGGACATCAAAGGCAGATTATTGTGGGAAACACTAAGGTAGTCCAGCGCTACATTTGCTTCAAAATTAAACAAGGTGTACATTTCATATTCAAGTCAAAGAAACGTAGAAATTATTCAGCTGTAGACAAGGCTGATATGTCCAGCGCAAAACATTGACACGTTTCACAATCAAAGCCACACAAAACAACCACTGAACAGGGCGGGTGGTTACAGGGGAGAATGTAAGTCTTCTATAAAGTCTTCTATAAAATGAACGATCCAAAATGTGAAGTCGTCATCAGGACTTCACACACGGAAGGTTTCTATACATAAAATACACTCCTACCATAATTGTATATGATACCTGTCAACGCTCCTGTTTGAAAGTGTACCCTAAATAAAAGCACGTATGAACTCACCGTTTTGGGAGTCTGTTATCGCTGGTGGAGAGGAGAGCAGTTGTTCTCAGTGGTCCGGGGTACGGCCACGCGGGTACGGCCTCGTCTGCGGGCTCGTCTCGTCTAACAGTAGAAGCGTTACTACTTGAATACGTTCAGGGGTCCAGTTGTAAGTATCGTTGATACGGCAAATGAGTCAAATAAGTCAAATACTTTGTCAGTTGGTACAACGAAAGTTTAGTACGTCCTCGCGGGTAGCTGGCGACCGACTGAATGAATGTATGGTGCCTCGTGCACGGACCACCCACTGCACCCAGAGGTGGTCAGCCAGACAGATAGGTTTGTTGCTATGGCAACTGTCGCGACGGACTTACTGGGAAATAGTCTCCCTTCCGGTTTACAGCAAAAACCCTATTTTGCAGGGCAAAAGGCCTTTAGCTTCCAAACTCACGGAATGACAGAAAAGCATGTGCCATCCTACATGTCCTACAGTTTTGGAAAAAGGTAATATGTAAATATTCCAAAAAAAGAGAGAGAATAGCTAGTCTTCTGCACGATTATCTTATGAAAGAATGTTTTATGCAAAGTCATCTTAGTTTGCTTGTGAGAGAGGTATAACCATATTTTATTTCATTTACTGTATCATAATGTTGTGTAGCGTGTTCATTTTTTTCTCTACAACTATGCCCTGAACATCTGCTTGGAGACTTCGCACACAGTAAAATCCGACCAATACAATTTCCAAGTAGATACAGGAACCTAATGTTTGTTTTACTAATTTTCAGTAAGTCTGCAAGCATTCACTCGAATATCAAAGAATGGAACAGATACAGAGAAAGGGACAACCCCAACTATACCCACGAACATCTGCTTGGAGACCTCGTAAACAGTAAGATCCGACCGACACAATCTCCAAGCAGATAGATGGAGCAGATGTTCTAGTAATTCTGTGTAAAAAATCATCTAAAGATCAAACAATGGAGCAGATACAGAGAAAGGGACAACCCCAACTATACCCTCCCCCCGAACATCTGCTTGGAGACCTCGTAAACAGTAAGATCCGACCGACACAATCTCCAAGCAGATACATGGAACAGATTTTCTAGTAATTCTTTGTAAAAAATCATCTGAAGATCAAACAATGGAGCCATAATATATTCCAACGTTATTTCAACGGGCGCGACCTACTCATAGTAATTGTTATCCTTTACCCAGACTAACCAGAGTATCTACTAGGGGATGTGTATATGACGATATTTATGTTACCGACAGTTTAGAAATTATTTGTAAATACTGCAATGTGCATTGAAATGTTATCCGGGAAACCTCTCAGTAAGTGTCGCCAGAGGACACACGGGCACTGAGACGGCGATGCCGGTTACTACACGGTGTCCAGACCCGACAATCACCGTACGGGTCGGGGTATCGCTTGTCGGTGGCAAGGATGCTGCCCGTAAATTATATACACTATTGTATACACTATTATACAATGCCATACTTGTTGCTCTGAATGTGTGGGGGGCAATGGGCCTTAGATATTGAAGTATTACGCAGCGGAGCTCTCCGCGATGTGAACACCATGAAGGTTTACGTCAGACTGAGCTCCGGTTGTTTACATTACGCCTTTTATCGGGCCAGGTCACCGTTAGTTATATAGTGCAATCTAACACAATAAACAGAAGAGACATTTCTTGTTTGGCGAGATATGCAACCTTTTATTCTGTTGCATCACAAACCATAGTATCAACACGTGCGAGGCATGATGTAGGATAGAGATTGTCTCAAATATATTAACATGTGTCTCATGTCAACAACCCGGCCAAAACATGCCTAACTGCGTGAAAGAACGAAACCAAGACCACGTGCGTGTGTGAACGAAAAGGGGAAACCAGCCAATCGGGCACAAATTGTGTCGGAATGAGAAAGGAAAGGGGTTCACAAGGGACAAGCGAACACGTTTTAATTTAAATGTGCTTTAGCTGGCGGTCTAAAGCCCCGCGGACACTCTTGTAATACTGGAGGTTTCCCAGATCGGACAAGTGTAGGCCGGCAGGCGCAAAGTAGTTTGGGTTGCGTCTCCACAGACGTCTGTGGTTCCATACTGTGACCTTGAAGTAGCTCTGCACAAGTCCCTTCAGCGCCTCCGTGAATTTGTGAAGGCGCTGAGGAAAGTCAGACATGTTAGGTGGAATATGGAGACGCCAGATATCTGGGGAACCTTGGAGGAGCGCCCGGTCTGCTTTCTGGTGGAAACCCACTCAGTGTACACGTAGCGTGTCTATCTTATATGGCAATACCTATTAAAAATTTCATCCTTATTTGGTAATACTTGCGTCAGATACCATTCTTTCCTAATAACTATACCTTACTCACGTACTTCCTAAATAATCAAACATAAATCCATACGAATGTGAGTTACAGCTCAGGGTACACATTTCATTCGTTGATGCATGCATCATATTAGCACCCTCAAAAACAAACAATACAACTTCCTACATACAATACGGTGTTAAAACACACACATTTTAACATACTAGTAGTACTAAAACAACAATCCGTTATAAGAAAAATTCCTTTTACTCAAGTTATATCAAAAGGGTTACAAATTTATACTATTATATTGTTAAAATACGTCGCCGGTGTGTTTTTTACGCACCGCCCTTGTTTTCTATGCAATGCCAAGCCTCATGGTGGAGTATGGTGTCGCTTACTGTATCGAAT